ACCCTACCCTACCCTACCCTACCCTACCCTACCCTACCCTACCCTACCCTACCCTACCCTACCCTACCCTACCCTACCCTACCTACCTACCTACCTACCTACCTACCTACCTACCTACCTACCCACCTACCCCCCTACCAGCCTGCCACCCCCCCACCTTCCGACCTACCTACTTGCCTACTACCTACATTGCTAGCTAGCTGGCTAGCTAGCAAGCTATCCATCAATCCACGGATGTCTGTCCCTCCTTCTGTCAATCTGTCTGTCGGTCCTGTCTGTATGACTGTATGCATGCATGTGGTAATTTATTTCTTTGTGGTCCGCTTGGCGTCTTTGGAGCAAGTTTGGGCAGTGAGTCACACGCGTTGGCAGTATGAATATTCACATCCGGAGGCTTTCCTTTCAGTTTAGATGTAGATCTCTCCTGAACCCGAGCAGTTTCATGTCCCAAATCCTCACAGCTCCAGGTCTAAGCCTTGTTCCACCGCGATGCGCGGATCCCTTCTTTTGACGAAAAGCTCAGCCCAGACACGACAAAAAGCTGGCCACACAATCGTAAAGCTCAAAAGGCCTGAAGCCGTAAAGCGCCAAAATGCCATAAGAGTCTGCAGAATGACCCCGAGCTCAAGAAGCTGGAAGACACCTTCCGGATGTTCACCCGGCTCGCGTGGCAGGCCCGGGAAACAGCTTCGGATCATGTATGTATGTATGTATGTATGTATGTATGTATGTATGTATGTATGTATTTGAGGTGACATGCGCATGCGCATAGACAGCGGCATGCATGCATCGGTACATACACATGCCTGCAAGTTCCACAGGTATACCAAGCTGTCTTGCAAGTCATGGTCGATTCCATTCGTACGCTCTCCGCACTCCAAAGGCGCTGGGGTGGATCTTCCTGAAGCTCGTTCTCGCCACCGTTGTGGTCTTCAAGCGCCTTGGACTGGAGAGCCCTGGGAGGCTGGTGGGTCTTTGGAACTGGGGGAGTGCCAGCCGAAAAGCCTTAAAGCTCCTGCAGAGCTGAGATGGCAGAAGCCTAGCCCTCCAGCCCCCTGTGATAGCTTCTAAAGCCGTAGGTTGCTGGCTGCGCCGAACAATTTTGTGCTACAAACTCCAAGCTTCGAAGGATTTATCGGCCGCTGGCCATCCGCTACACTCACTCCCTGGCTGATCGGGCAATCCTGAGGTGCTTACTGCTGCCAGGTTTGGTTTAGAGGTTTTGACGGCTGGCCTTGGGAGTTTTTTTCCGACACAGATCAATGGTTTTGAGTTACTTTGCGTTCAGGTTTCAGGGCACCGGAGCTGAATTCGAGTCCACTGCCTCGTTGTTGAAGCTGCGATTCAAGCACATGAGATGAATAGCAGGGTTAGGGCTTAGGAAGCCAAGCCCTGTAGGCTCTAAACTTAAGCCGAAGAAGCTTCTAAGCCGTCAACATCAACATCAGCGAAGCCCAAGCCCAAGGTATCTCAGCGTCTTCAACCTTGGCCTTCGGTCGGTGCTGTGCTTTACGAAGAAGGCAGGCTTTGGCATCGGCTCGCCATCGTCTTGGGCATATGCGTGAATTGTCGGTTAAGGCTTCGCGTGCACCTTCGCATGTCAGGGGTTGGAGTGGCGTGCGGGATTTGATAGGACTTCTGGCAAGCGCTAGTCACTAGTCAGTCTTTTCATATACTTCCATGTGGTAAAGACATGCACGTGCGGGGAGGGAGCAGAGAGAGGGGCGAAGAGTTGCACAGTGGCACACGCACACATGCACAAGTCATGCACACTTGCGGACTTTCTTGCTCTCAGACGATGAATACAACATAGGCAAACAGATATGAGTAGACACAAAAGTAAGCGCATATTGTTCCACCGGTTTAATTCGGCTACACGGCCGTTTGTGGTCACATGCTGCTTTGAAGCGTGCAGGCGAGGTTTTCGCCTGCGGGCTTGGACTGAAGCTACCAGAGCAGAGATGTATACTACAAAGTGTGGGGCAAGTGCGCTTTCTGATGTTGTGGCAGCTTGAATCAAGCTCCCACGCCGCCCAACTCGGCTGCTTTCAGCTCGAGCCCACTTCGACGTGTGAGTCTTCAGATTTTCTGCAGGTTTGGCGCGAAGGAGAAGACGACAGCTTCTACGACCAAAGAAGCTCGGCTTTAAGCTTTCTTTTGTTTGGGCCGCGCTCTTTTGCTGAGGGTGTTGGCCTTTCATAGAGCGGCCATGATTCTGGATCGTACGAACTCGTGCGGATCCTAAGCATTCCCCAAAGCCCTCAGCCCTAAACCCAAACACCCCAATCCTAATCCGGTGGGTCTCCGAGGCCCAGCTACAGTGGCTTTGGTCCCGGATGCACCAGAGGCTCGAGCATCGACTTCTGATTCTGAGCGAACAGGCATGGTCAGCAACTTGCCGGCATGTGGGGACGTCGGTTTAGGATGCAGCCAGAACTACATAACTATCTTCGCATACTGCTTTCACACGAACTACTATAGCTGCTGCTCTGCTTCTGACTCTGGTCAGCAGTTTAGATATAACGTTTCCACCATGAGGTTTGCCTTGCCTGTGGATTGCGAGGCCGCGTGGTTCTTTCCAGCATAACAACAAACAAGCAAGAAGCACCGTTCTGTTGTGCTTGTCCTCATACCATTACCACGACGACAACCGCCACTATTGCGACTAGCTGCCGCTACATAACTCTACTACTTCGTTTGCTATTATTGCTACAGTACTGCTGCTGCTGCTGCTACTACTACTACTACTACTACTACAAAGCCCCTTGGCTCGCAGCTCGGATGGAAATCTGTGTGAAACCCGAGGCCGCTGGTAACAACTTAACGGCCTCCCTAGAAGGTTTGAGGTACCAATCGAAACACGGCTGTGCGTTGCAGGATGGTACATCTACAGCTAAGTGCGCGTATACCTCAAGGAGAAGCGCGCGGGGGCCGCGGGGGTCGCCATTGCCAGAGCCCAACAACACAACCTCCATGTACAGCGGGCGTGCGAACATACGTCGAGGTCGGTGATGGATGCGTATGAAAATCAACCGCGAAAGCGACAGGTCTTCGCAGGCTGTCAACTGTCCTTGGACATGTCCAGTGCCTTTGATCTGGCGGACTGGGGTCTCATACAGGCCTCTTTGACAGCTGCGGAAGTCCCGGAGACCATCAAGGCCTGGACCTCGGATTGGTACAGCTCTATCCGGTACCACGTCCAACGTATGAAACCCCGTGCGGAGGTAGTTGCCTCCCGGGGCCTGAGACAAGGACCTGCGCCGCCAGCTCGAGCCCCTGCTCGGACAAGCTTGGCTCTCTCATGGCCGTTTTCGTACGCCCAAGTCCAAAATCTTGGAGTTCCCCCAAAAGATAGGCATGTGTACCTCGGAGTGGTTCTCAGTTATCACTCCTCCACCAGGCACACTGTTGCCCACAGACTACAGGAGGCCAGCGGAGCCTGGCAGTGCTTTCGTAAAATATTGTCTTCCCAAACCTACCTGACGGAACATGATAGGGTGCGCCTCTGGTGTAGCCGCTTCTTCGCCGGGACTCAAGGACGTCCAGCAGATGCAGCACGTGGCTACTTGACACCTCCGAGCTTTTGCTCACTCCTAAATCTTCTAGCGCGGTTCGAGTTGAGCCACTACAGAAACGACTGGCAACGGAGGCCACCGCCCTTTGCCAGACCCTGTTGACTCTGGAGACCAACCAACGTCCCCTGCTGCCCGAGGTGTCCCCTGCTGCCCGAGGTCCGCGAGCAGGTACGATCTACTGCTGCTCTCCTCCAAGCGAACCAAGTTACAACCGATGCAGCGAACCCATATGATGCCGGACTAACAACCCATGTTTGCAAGGACTGCGATCAGCTGTTTCGGTCGTTTCGTCTCCTCCGAGTCCACGAGGCGGCCTATCATCAAAAGCGCACTCCCAAAGACAACGGCCCCGCCTTCGATAAGGCCGTACACGGCTACCAAGGCTTGCCTGTCTGTGCCTACTGCAAGCATGACTTCAGATTCAGGCGATGGCGCAACCTCTCGCAGCACATCAGGTGGAGTCGCTGCCCCGTCTTACGTGCAAAGCAGCCCACGAATGAGCAACTGGGACTTCTGCAGGTCCAGCTCCATGTCGACTCGCTGGCTCGGTGGACACATGATGAATCTGCAGGTAGGCGCATGCAGATACTGCGAACAGAGCGGGCATCTATGCCTGAGGTAGTCCTGGATGTCCTTGTTGGTGAGGAGGTCGTTCCGCCTGCGTTGACTCAGGGTTTTGAGCACCGGTAGAGGGGCTGAGTTTGCTCTTTCAGCGGTTCCCCAGCAAGCGCAGCCCGGAGCTCACAGAGGAGGAACGCCCGAAGAGCCAGAGAACGATGTGGCTCAGGACAGCCGGGCGAAGGGACTCGGCAACGGCAAGGGCAAGGGAAAGCAAGGCTTTAAGGGCAAAGGCGGGGCCAAGGAGAGATTGGAATCCCAGTCCTCAATTGGGGGATACGCCAGTGCCTCAGACCAGCTCAGCCCGCCGTGGAACAACGACAATCAGGACGCGTGGGTGGGGACCCACTTCACTACCGCCTTCACAAGCTCACCCAGGCGATGTTCAAGCAGCTGCTCATGTCCCTACAGGAGAGATTGGAGGCGACAGTGGCAAGTGGCAAGCCAGAAGCCATGCAAGCAGCCAAGAAATTGGGATGGGTGGACGAGCACCTAAGTCCCGACGGCGCCAGCGAAGACAACGGACGACCTACTGCGACAGCTGGTGGACATCCGCAAGAACGTGACGGAGGAGAATCTTCACCACTTCAAGAGTGTGCGGAAGCTTGTGCCTCAGCCGACGACACAGTGGGTACAGTTCCAGTTGGAGGTGTCGCTGAGAGTGGGGGGCGATCCAATCTGGTCCATCCTCCAGGAATGGGTGGGACAGGCAGCTTGTGAGACGGGAACGCCCAAACTACGACAACGCCGTGGCGGAGCTCTGCCAGCTGAACCGGTTGTGACTCGGTCCACCACAACAGCGGCCCTCAAGGCCGTGCTCAAGCTAGCGTTGCACAACTCTACATCGCTGTGCTACTTCAACTCCACCATATGCAGTCGGTTGTGGACTCTTGCTCCAGGCGCAGCTCCATGGCACACCGGAGATTCTTATTGCCCCGTGCCTACAGACCTTGTGCAGGCCCCAGTCCAGCCAGTCCGTCACTCAGGTCATTGGCGGGTTGCAATGGTCTCTTCTGCTCCAGCAGTGGAGGCCCCTCCACCGTCAGCATGATGCTGCAGAGTTCCATAATGCCCAGGATCATGCAGGGGAACCATCCAGGGAAGTGGCAGGCTCGCGAGCTCAGAGACGGATGCGCCCAAATCCTAGACCATAGCACACTGCATTGCCCAATACCCCTCCTTTCCAACGAGGGGGACATCTGCCACCTTCAATGGAGTATCGACCGTTGGCATGCACAGGCAGCAACGCATGGCCTAGTGTATCCACCGCCCCCAATCCTGATGCTCCAGCTTCTCAGGTTTGTCAACCCAGAGGGCCAACTTACCAGGGATCTTCGACCCCTACGAGGCCACTTCGGACCAATCCATGTCCCAATGTTCAGCAATGAGGGGGTGCAATGCGAATTGTTATCCTTTCAAGTCGGTGAGCGCCCGGACCAGGGACACTATCAAGCGGTGCTCAAAGGCCAAAAAGATTTCTGTGCCTCTCGCTCCTGGCTCACGGATGACGACCAAGTGGCACGCCCAGTTGAGTCGACACCAGACCCCCATGCGTACATTGTGTGGCTTCGCGTGCTGACAGGCAGCGAACTGGCGTCAGCCAGTGAGTATGACTTTCGCGAGTCCAAGGAGACTCCGGAACCTGAAACAAGGTTTCCGCCAGCTCGCTATGCGGACATTGGAGTGCTCGCAGCGTGGGCAATGAATACTACTACTACAACTGCTACCAGTGCTAGTACTAGTAGTAGTGCTACTCGTGCGAGAACAACTACGACTGCTGCTGCTGCTGCTGCTCCTGCTGCTGATGCTGCTCTGCTGCTGCTCTGCTGCTGCTCTGCTGCTGCTGCTGGCTTGCCCTTTGTTAAATGTTACGTAATTCCTGCTGCCGCCCTCAGCCTACGACCTCTACGAGTGGATATCGCTCAGTGGAGACGAGGCTTGCACTGTGCTCTGTTTGCCAAGCCTAAGTTGGGCATCGGGACTTAGAATGCCAACGAAAGATGTGCATGCATGTGCTCGAGCATGCAGTCTAACATTTCCGGTGTATATACGTCCTGACGTCATGGTCGTCAGCACCATCGTCGCCATCATCATCAAAATTTTTGATCATCATTGAATCATTATCATCACCATCACCATCACCA